ATTCTGAGGAGCCTACCGTGCGCCCCGACTCTAGGCCAATATCGGTGCCTTAGATCCCGTGGCCTCTCTGCGAACCAGGAAGCCATCACCATCAACAAGCACGTGCTGTGCGAAGAGAGGTGCGGAAACCAGAGGGTTCACCGGACCCCAACACTATTGTTTCCATAGGACAAATTGGTACTCCCCGTGGCTTTACTGCAGCGAGCCGTGCGGGGCGTTTACCAGTTCCGCGAGTTCGCTCGCCCCGCTAGGCTAGAGCTCTTAGAGACGCCTTTGAACCGAAGTGCCAGCTGCACCGTGCCAGAGCTCGTGCAATCTGCCCTCACAGAAACTGGAGCGGCCTTGGAGTAAGGTTCCTTGAATTCGTTTGCTAAGAAAAGCCAATCTTTGCAATGTCTGGTTTTAAACCTTTGCTTGGGCATGGTTCGAAATATGGAAAACACATTTTGTGAGGTCCATGTATCAGCAACGTAAGAGTAGTGCGATACCAGGCATACATTCGCTTAACTAGTGTCGTTCGCTGTTACCCCCGTTGACTTCATTTAGGACAACAGTTTGGGACGCATTTTCCCGCTCGGCCTCAGTCGTCCACATTAGCCAAGAGAACGGCGAACTTGTACGATTTGAAGCCGCATTGGGAACGTGCAGCGTCCCGATTAGTTTCGATGCCCGTGCTGCCGGGGAGGAAGCAACCAGTTTGCCTTTGGCGGGGCGATGTCCTGAATCACCCCCACCGCGATTGATAGTGCGCTGTACTAAACGAACTCTTCGCATGTTTGCTTTGAAAAGCGTTGCTACCATATCGCACAAACTCAGTCCGATTCGTTGCTGTCTTTCCAGCTTAGTTGTGCTCTTTAGTTTGTTGCTCTCTGAAATGGTTGCTCTAAATCAATCCACTGCCCGACGGTCTGCCCTTATTCTGTTAAAGCTACGAGAAGGCTGCTGGAAGCTGGGATTCCAATATACATAATTGAGAACATTGAGGCCAAATCTCATGTTGGTTTTTTTACAAATGTCCCTTATTTCAGCGCATCAAAAACTTCCGGGTCATGAGAATTTAGCTCCACTGAATATCAGATGTTATACAATATATTGATTGTACTGCTAATGTGTCATCGTATTCGCGTGTGCACGACTGTTTAAAACGTACGCTTTTATGTTGCCTCTACTCTACAACATCATATACATAACGCTGATCTGCTTTTCGCGCTCAAGTATTCTGGAGTGGGAATTCCCTTGAATTCATTAAGCGACTATCCAACCTCAACAATTAAAGGGCTACTTGTGTCGGCAGACAAATATCCACAAGCGGGGTCGCCGCAAGGCTTTCAATCCGCTCGGTCGCGCCTCGGAGCTCACACTCCCGCGCGTTCAAGGTGACAGTGAGCATGGTCCCATCGAATGCTTAGGTACGCTGCTTTGATCTTATCACCCACTTCAACGTGTTCTCTCAATAACGTGCAAAAGATGACGCAGTCTACTTTAAATGCGGACATTCCCAAAAAATTGGAGAATAGGTAGGCTGTGGGTTTTCGGCCACGCGCTGTTTTGTTCCTATTTTTTTCTCTTTGTTTTACCAGACAGCCTTAAACCAGGCCACTCCAACGACTCGTCCCTCAATGTTCGGACTTTAGCACGCACCCGGGTGGCCGGTTCACGTGACCCTCCAATTGACCCCCTAAGACCTGAAAAAATATGGAACTGGAGACATCACATTCACAAGGTGGGCTAGCCTGTGTATGAATTCACTTATGACCAAACTCGAGGAAACGGGTCAAAAAAGCTCAAACAATGGTCAAAACTCCAGACTGGTGTCCGAAAGAACCCCACACTTCGTCATTCAACTGCCGTGAACGTAGATACCTGCTCTAAGCAAAGTCACTCGTTTTCATTTAAGGCAGTGCCCTTCATTGACCTTTGAAAGGTGTTGGTGGACAAAAATCCTACGGGACTATTTGATTTTTGCATTTGAATAGGTGCCTCGTAAATAGTATAATGATACAAATAAGTGCTAATAATTGCGCTAGGTGGTTTGGTTTCTTCAAAAATTTTGACCTGGGTCGTTTCAGGTCAATGATATACCAGACCTAAGGACTCCATGAAAAGACATCTGTTGCGGTCACTGATTAAATGAAATCGAAATGAGCAGAAGAAGAAACTAATTTTACAACGGTTCTCGCGTTAAAAAGCCAGTGGTTTTGACCACGGCCTGACTTTTAAATCCGGTTTAGTTCAATGAAATTCGGACGTTTGTATTGATTCAATCGTTTTGTAGCCTAATGCTAATGTCTCAGAGGATTGAATTGCTTCGTTGTAAACTCCGTTGTCGCATCAGGTTGAGTGATTCCCTAGAAATTGCCTTCGCTGGCAGCCACGGCTTCGGCATATTTTTTCCTTGTCATAGGTCACTGACGTAACAAGGTATCTTGTATCATAAGATCGATATTTAAGTGCCTAAGCCATGAAGAGTTGGTGCGGATACACCTCGCCGTTCAGGAATTATTACGCAAAAAACCCTTGAGGGTGTGAAGGAAGGAGTGGGAAACAAATTGGCATTCCACGGAGCGCGTGTGAAGATTACCTATGGTAAACGATCTGGTAAAAATCGCCTAAAGATGACGTCATTAGTTTTGTACAGCGACTGCTCGTTGTTGTTTCACTGCCTTGCACGCCTTAAGCTTCTGTCGGGGCTGGGCAAGGCTGTACGAGGAGATACAATGCCATCATGACCAAATCATGCGTTGTGTGTGTGGAATGGTCGTGTTAATAAGTCATCCAGTACAAGTATCGTTTATTATGATAGCCGACTTCTCTGCACACAAACATCGAAGCCATGCATTCGCAATGGACTGCTGCCATTGGCATCAGAGGCTGCATTTTTTTTTTCGTAT